CTTCCTGATGATTTCAAAGGAATTATATATCCGTGTGTTGGATTTAGATCGCAAGGCGTGTCTGTAAAAGTAAATTTAGGTCGTGAAATGTTCAAATATTCTGGTAAATTTGTCTAAGGGTCTAATCGGTTTAATTTATTTAGAGTTTAACCTTGTTTATATGTTTATTTCAATTAACATTAGTAAAACATAAAATAATATATTAATATTGAAATTTCAAGAAAATATTCATTTTATTATGGGCGGAAATGAAAATATACAGTAGCATTATTGTAGGTTTTTGCGTGTTTTGAATTCTGACCCGTTTGACCCGGGTTAGAGTAAATTTCGACCCGTGACCCGTCGAGTCGGGTGACCCATACGGGTCAACCGACCCGGGTAATAACTCTATACCAATGTATTGACCATGACTTGGAACAACTGTCGGAGTTGATAGTTCAGGTTTGTCGGGATAGCTTGTTGAACATTTATCAAATGGGGTTATAGTTTACATTTTGCAATGCAATGTATCATAGAAGGATCAAGGTAACTGATTTGTACTGTCACACAGTTGTTCATTCGTCTACACAGTGTTAATGTTCGCTTATACTATTATATCTAACATTTGTCTACACACTTATTGTAATGTTTGTCCACAAACTTATTGTATGTACATTCACACACACACTTATTCTACTGTTAGTCCACACAGTGCTGTAATATTCATTCCTCTCAATGCTTGTCAACATTCACTCCACGCAATATCATAAAGTTCGCCTTATACAATACTATGATGTTCGCTTCGCCAATATTGTAATGTTCGCTTCACCAATATTGTAACATTCGCTTCCCACTGCCATTTAGTATTCGTTTGTTTATTTGTATCATCGTCTGTTTAATATCTTTCATTAGTTCGTTTGTTTGTTCGTTCGTTTATTTATTTTCTTTTATTGATGTTCGCCTCTTCTCACTAAGGCGTCACTTAATCCTTTTGTCATTTGTTCTTTACTTTTTTCTTTTTGATATTTCAGCCTCGACCACGGCTGAAATAACTGAACCCTTGTGGAATTATTTGTTAATACTCATTTTGTCTTATTTCTTTATTTATATATATATATTTTTTTTGACTCAACACAAAACGAATTCGGCTTCTGTTCACTTATTTGATTTTAACTCAACACAGCGCGAAGTCGGTTTTTGCTCACTATATTATTATTTCAACACAAAACGACATCGGCTTTTGCTCCTCTTCGTTCACTCCACACAATCGGCACCAAAAGTGTTACGACCAGGGAGAGACTGTCTTATAACTCTGCCAATTTAACTCAGGGTCATAAACATTAGAGAAAAGAAACCAAGTATTTATTATTTATGTACAAGACACTGAAAGTACAAAGAAATGTGAGCGATACAAGTAAGTATCTTTCTAACAAGTGTACCCGGTACACTATAATCCTCTAAAATATCCCTTATTCCAAAAACTAAACCCAAAACTAAAGAAGTACTTCCTAACCGCTGTCCCTATTTATATACATATTATTAGACTTAAATTAGCTATACGCTATTATGTAAATATAGTACAGGTTACCCTCGTTAATATCAACCTATTTGAATTGGTTTTAAATCATGTTGATAGTGATATTAACGAGAAATCATATTAAAGTTGATATATATGAGGGAATTTTGATATAAAAATTTATAAAAATTTGTTTTGTGGCTTAGGTTGATATTAACGGGGGTAACCTGTATAACAATATAAAAGTCTAATTCAAGTAACCTATAACTATATTAAACTATAAGGTTACAAAAAGCTTATTTACAAATGTAATATTATTTTCGTAACAATACATGCTCTTACCATTGATGCCACTGTTGGTGGCGGTATTACTCGGCTTATTTTTTCGTAACATGATTATTTTTTTGTAACATGATTTTAATTTTATAAAATTAACCGAAATCGGTGACGTAAGAGTAAGATCGAATGCGATGCATAATAAATATGTAATTAAGACGAAAGTTAAATATATGGGGTCTTTGCCTTGAAAATCAAATATGGGGCATATGATTTACTATGTCCCATAACTTGATTTTCAAGGCAAAGATCCCATATTATGATTGATTGTGATGTAATTGATTTAAGAGTCAAAGATCGAATGAAAAAATTATGATGTATTTAAGTTTAGAGCTAAATTTTATGTATATAAGGAACATAAGAAAAAATTAAGAAAAGTTACCTTTTCGCTTTCGATCAAGAAAAAACGCTAAAGTAGAAGCAACCTACACCTACGTATTGAGACGTTGGTGGTCGACCTTGTGTTAAACCGATAATTGCGACCAGTAAGGGCTGCGATAATTATTTCCCAATTTATTATAATTTTTATTAATCAACAAAATGACTGATCTTATTTTACCTCAATTATATGTTTATCCTCTCACCGGTTCACAAATTGTCTCGGTGAAAAAAAATGCAGTGGTACCTTATATTCCTCCTGAAATTATTCGAATTATTTTGGATTTATTGAGAGATGATATAAAAACTCTCGCTGCATGTGCTTTAGTTAATCATACTTTTAACCTTCATGCAACCCCGATCTTACATCATACCGACGCGTTTACTTTTCATACGCATTTCATTAATGTCCAAAATTTTATTAGAAAGCGTTTGCGGCCTGGAAAAAAGTTCTTTTGAAACCAAAAGGTCGTCACTCCAGAACTTTTAATTCATATTCTAAGATCTTTTCCCGAATTAAAAACCTTTTCTATATCAGAATTTTTAAAATCTGTAATTACCCTTGATGTTTTAAAAGTTTTATTTTTAGAATGTAAAAGTATAAATCTATTGATTTTTGTGGATGCGCTAGTAGACAATTTAGTAACGCTTTAGATGAATTTTCTAGTCTTATTGGTCGCGTTAAAATAGAATCAAATTGCAATGATTATAATGAGACCATGATTTTTTTTCGCATGACATCCAAACCTTATTACCTCATTTACAAAGTCTTTCATTTCATGAATGTCCAGTAATTTCTGAATATTCAATTATTATACATTAAATTTCTTAGCTGGAACAAATATTCCAACAAAGTTATCTCATTTATTATTGGCTAAATGTAAAAATATTTCTTCCGAAGCCATTTCATTTCTTGTTTCAAAATGTTCTCGATTGGAACTCTCAATTTATATGGCGACAGAGATATAACTACATCTATTAAAGAATATGATTTAATTACCATACTTCGTTCACCAAATACAAAGAATTTCCGAACTTTAGATATCGGATCTTCACAGATAACACCTTTAATTTTAACAGTTATTAAAAATAATTGCCCATCTTTACAATATCTTGGTATTTCGAAAGCACAGATTACCAATTTTAATCTTATTAAAGATCTTTTAATGACCTTACCAAATTTACAATACGTTCTGTTTCGTGTTTCAATGTTTCAGGTTTAATCTTTTGAACACAAACAGTTTGTTAGCTGACATAAAAAGAACAATCATTCAATTCATACAATCGAGATGAATGAATCATTAATTAAAAAACTTGATACAGTTGATGGATGGAAGATTAACGCAAATTATGGAAGAAGATGGTATTACTCTCGTGAATCTCAGAAAGGTGCGATTAAACCTGATATAATACATGGTAGAAAACTGGATATTATTGAATATGGACCAGAATTTATAAGCAAGTTTTCTTAATATTATAGTTTTGATATATAATATATGACTTAATTATTTATTAATAGAGCTGTCTTATATGAGATATATAATTTTTTGTAAGAACATTTCTTAAAAACAATTATCCTTATGTATATATACGTATCTATAAATTTATAATTATGTAATTAGTTAAAATTATCATAAAAAAGTAAAGTATATCATTAATATAAGAAAAAACAAATAAAAAAGCTTTAAAATATAGCGTACCAAAATGTTTACAAAAAAAACATGAATGATTAGAAGTTTGTATTTGAATAAAATTTGAATTAATGTATTTGTAGCTATAACTAAATAATTCTTTTTTTGTTAGTTAGGGTTAGGATGAGGTAAAGATGGTATGCGAGTGAAAGGGTGTTTTATAGTAAAATTTAGCAAGAGATTTTTTTTGTTAGAAAACAAAAGGCAGCTTTATATACTCAATTTTGAGTTATAACTGATTTTGATAATTTTTAACAAAAAAATTTGTTTTAAATTTTTCTATTATATTACATTTTACATCTGATCTTAAATTTGATTAGCTTTTATAGGATAGGTTACAGCAACAATGGTTACAAACATATTATTTCATATTACATTACTATTTACAAATTTTTTTGGTTTTTAAGTAAGGTTATAAAGAAGATTTTTCTGATCCTAATGATAAGCAGATCATCAAAATTGACCTGGTGGTTCCTAAGATGTTTTGAATTACATTATGATTATAGAAATCTAAAAATTGCTGGTTATACAAAGTATTATAAATTATAATATTTTGTATAAACCTGACAAATCCTAATTTAATAAAAATTTTTGTAATTTTAAAAAAGTTTAAAAACTTATTATTAATTTTATATATTTTATTTTAAATAATAAAAATAAAAAATAAATAAAAATTTTGTATAATTATAATAAACATAGCAAAAAACCATAGTAGAAATATATATTTCATTTTTATAAAATTTTATAGTATAACATATTTGTAACCATGGTTACTGTAACCACATCCATAAAAACCAATTAAAAAAACAAATATTTATTTTGTCAAAACTTGTTAAAAATCAGTTATACTAAAAATTGGTATATAAAACTGCACTTGGTTTTTGACCAAAAAAATCTCTTGTTAAATTTTACTATAAAACACCCTTTTTACCCGCGTACCATCTTTACCTCACCCTAACCTTAACTAACAAAAAAAAGTGGTTGTTTTAGTTACGGCTACGCTAGCCTATGGCTACAAATATATTAATTCTTTTTATACTATTGGTTAAAATCAATATAATGTTAAGACTAAAAATTGAAAATTTTGTATAGCCGTGGTGGAAACAGCAAAAAGCCATGGTAGAAATAGTAATTCCAGTAGATATTACTCAAGATCTCTTTGCAATTAAGCTAATTTACGATTTCATGCCAGCATTGCTAGTAGAAATTTTAATGCTAGATATACCTAGAGTAATAAACAGACCCTTGGATCATTTGGAAGTATTGTTTCAAACGTCTTATATTATTAACACTTTACAGCATGTTCTTATATTATTTTAAATAGATGCGTTAACATGAATATTGAAAAAATCCTTTTTAATTAGTTATCATAATGAAATCGGATTGAAATAAAATGAGGGGCTCCTATTTGACCCTCTAAAACCCATTTATACTTGTTTATTATAAAACCTGCTTCCAAATCCTAATCCTAACCCTAAAAA